GCAGAGTTCGCTACCAGGTCATGAGTGCCACCCAAATTGACTTCAAGTCGGAGGGTGCTAAGCTCGCCGACCTCATCAAGCAGTTTGGCATCAGCTCATAAGATTTGACGGCGCTGCTGTACGTTACGGAAAGAGATTTGGCGCGGTTTGCCAAGCTATAGAAAATGGTGGCGGAAAGGAGCAGATAGGAGTGGATGACTAGAATCTCATGAGCTACGAGGCAAGGACCAGTGGTCACACAATTGTCAACGTAAATGTTTCGCACAATGAACAAAAACTTAATGGCAGACAAGATGCCCATTTTGCTATGTTTCCTCTAGTCCTCGAGTTATGCAACCCGAGCCCGCCTTGATGCAAGTCGCGGAGCAAATGCCACTTGTGGGCTACAAAGCAATTCCCAATAAACCTGCTCTCGTAACGCCGGCCTAATGCCCACCATCTCACGTGGAAGCTCCTCGGATCAATGACAACAAATACCGTGCCTTCTCCAACCGCACTCCTGTAGTCCTTTGTCACCATGATCCCGTCTCGTGCCTTCATTACTTCATAAGGCTCGCGTATCATCATATCTGGACCCCTGCATCAAATAGGGTGGCTTCTAGCGAGTCGGTTGAATGCCAGTCATGAGATCCTCGTCCTCGATAGATGTCTCGAACATCTCGACATGCTGGCTGGATGAATCCTTTTGTGAACGCTTAGCCTCGCGGTCAATGTGCCTAGCGTAGTCCTTCGAAAACATAAGCCGAGCGTCGCTCGCCTTGGCCCATTTGTTGAGCGTCTCAATACGGGCATCGTCGGTGATCTTCCTCTTATACTCAGTGTGCTCGATCTCTTGATCACGTGGGAGAAATGTAAGGCACTTCGCGCCGTCAGGGCTGGTCTCCAGCGCGCCAACAAGCATTCCACTGCGGATCATATCTTGGAGAAGCGCCTCTGTCTCGACGTCTGTCTCCAAACTCTTCGCTGTCTCTGCACTGAGAGTTTTCTCGCGAATCTCTGAGACGCCAATCTTCTGATAGACATCTGCAAGGCCAAGAATCTGCCACTTTTGGTACGCCTTCACAACTTCCTTCAGCAGTGTTGTAGTCTGGTCATCGACCCAGGTTGGTGTACCTGCCTCGACCGCGCTCTTAAGCTCCTCGGCGTTGACAGTGGAAAATAGCGAGCCAATATCGGCGTACAGCTTTGAGAGTGAGGCGTAGTTCTTGGTGGCGGCAGGCGCAATGAAGCTCGGAGGAGTGGGGGTTTGGCCGAGGGTCAGGAGGCCCGTAAGAATCCATCGCTTGTGGGCATCGGTCATGATCTTGCTCGTAGCTCCGTCCCTTGTTGGCCAACTGATTATTCTCTGGTATGCCTTGTGCGCATCTGCCCACCTCAGCTTGGCGGTGAATATCTGAGCGGTGACCCATTCATGTTGCATGACCTCCTCCCGGGTGAGTTTCTGGCTGAGGTGTGTGCTTGTGTTGATGTACGAGGCGGGGGAAGCTGTCACATCGCAGAGGTAGGCTGGCTGGCTTTGGTCTTTCATTCCAGGAAGGAAAACCCATGGCTTCTCGACCAGGGGAAGCACTTGGTCAATGTTATCGGTCTCGTAGGCCATTTTGACCACTGCAACATGGTGGCTCGTGAGCACCGCGCAATCGGGATCGAGTCTTCTCAGCACGATCGCGACAATCTCGATAGCTTGACGGGCCTAGGAAAGCAGCAATTAGCCATGAGAAAGCATATGGCAAGCAAATTCGTCATACCGGGTAGAACTTGCAATCCACGACATCCTTGACCAGATCGGAAAAGGCATCACCAACGTAGCGTATTTGTCTCGGATCGAAGGACAGCAGGAACTTGAGGGTGTATTCTCGGAAGGCGTCGGCAGGTATGGAACGACCGGTATCGTCGAGGCGCTTCAATGTGTTGAGAATCGCAAGGAAGGCAACCGAGTGCGTGGCGGGGTTCACGATCTGGGACATGGGTCAGCAAACGTCAAACGACGACAGTAGCAAGCGCCAACGGACCTCTAGGAGCTGAGGGGCATTGGCCACGACTTCGTTTCCCAGGTCCTTGAAAAGCCTCGAGATCTGTGCGATATGGTTCTTGAGCGCGCTATCGTAGACCTCATCTGACATGCCCTGGTCGGGTTCAAATGAGAGGAGGGTGGCATCCATCTTGCCGTCGTGTTGGCGCCTTGCCGGGACCGAGATGCGAAGTGAAGTCGGCAAGCTTGCGCGGAGACCAACGGGACAGCAGCCGAAGAAGTCGGCTAGGTTATCGACGATTGTTCTCTTGGAAGAGACAGAGACAGACTCGCAGGAAAGTCAGTGTGATTTGTGAAATTTGGGAAGTAGTGATCGCGAGTTTAGGTTGTTGTACCTGTTGGCAGCCTGGAGGGTATGGAAGCTTGATGGCACCCACAGTGGTCCTCCGGCAAGGAAGGTACGGTAGAGCTGGCGACCCGTGGTGGGGTGCCTTGTATGGTCCGTGCTCATCGTAGCTTATCCGAAGCTTCCCCAGTCGCTTGTTTCTCGGATAAACTGGCAATCCTTACTAGCAGCATTGCCTACAGGTTCCTTTTTAAACATAAAGCAAGGTCTGGACATAACTGGAATGAGGTAGAAACCCCAAAGGCCATTCAGAAGAAGTTAAAAAATTGAGCTGGAAGTTGCTGATTTCGCTAGTCTCTCCCATCTCAGGTGCTCCGTAAGCAAGGTGAAGGAATAGCTTGGTCGACACTAAGGTAGTGTAATTGAGCAGCGGGGCACTACCCCTCTTACACCGAGATTTGGCAGTGTTATGTGTGGTCATCCAATACTTCCAACAATCAAAAATACTATCATGAGGACAGAAGTTTGAAAATCGCTGAACTCGGAACCAAATAAATACAAGAAGTGCATCGTCGAGTGATTGACCGCTGAGCCTGTGTCAAGTGCTTCATGGCTGAGATAAAAGCTTGGGCAACCTGGTTACCCCACCCCCACCATACTCCAACGAAAAACATTTCGAGATAGAAGTCTCTACTCTATCTACATCTGCCCGTATCTAGTGAAAAAGTCACTCCGAGATCGGTCGCAAAACTACGGTGCAGAGTTGCCAAAAAAGCACACCTGAGCAACAAGTATCATAAGCAAACATCAACTGTTAACCGATAGCAATTCTGCCTCGCCGACAGCAGACACCAAGTCAGTGATTTTGTCTCGACTCGACCGCGGTGCCCTTCTCGCGGCTCATGTTGCCTCGCCTCTGTGATACCCAGCGGCTAACAAATTGCAGCATACAATTCCCTCGACCACCTCCAAGATGCCTCTTCCCGACACCATTGAGCTGCCTGCAGCATTCGACGCCCACGTCCACGTGCGTGATGGCGGCATGTTGAAGGTGTGTGAGCGTGAAGCCGCCTACCTCAGGCTCAGTCGCCAACATGCTGACTATTTAGCTTGTTGCTCCTACTATCCGATCCGGTGGTGCCAACTCCGCTTTGATCATGCCCAACCTTACCCCTCCCGTGACCAGCACGAAAATGGCGTTGGACTATTCTTCTCGTATCAAGGAGGCTCTGGGAAACGCTGAGGTGAAGCTGCTGATGACCCTCTACCTTCACCCTGACGTTACACCCGAAGTTATCAGAGAAGCCAAGAAGGCTGGAGTTGCCGCCGTAAAAAGGTTATTAAAATCCACTAAAGCCCTGTTTCGAGGTTTGATCTGATCTGATAGTCCTTCAGTTACCCTGCCGGCGTCACAACCAACAGCTCTGCTGGTGTCGTTGACTACGATGCTTTCCACGAGGTCTTTAAGGCCATGGAGGAGGTTGACCTGCTTCTTTGCCTTCATGGAGAGTGTCCTTCCCATGCTGGCAGCGATATCACCACTCTTAACGCCGAGTCCAAGGTGAGCAGGCCAGGCGTTCTATGCTAATGAACCAAATATCCTGACGCCATATCAGTTCCTCCCTACGTTGAAGGTTCTTCACAACAAGTATCCGAAGCTCAGGATCAGTGAGTCAGAGTATTCCCGCTGATGCATGATATTGACTCGTGTAATAGTCCTCGAGCACTGCACAACTGCCGAGGCAGTCGAGGCCGTCAAGTCCTGGTGAGTTCAGTTGGATAAATAGTCTTCAGTCAGGCTAACCATATTCAAGCGGCCCCAACGTCTCGGGAACGATCACTGTGTAAGTTTCCACAAAAGTGCTCCAAGGCTTGTAGACTGACATCTTTAGTCACCATCTCTTCATTACCATCGACGACGTCGTTGGTGACGCCGTACGACCGACACAGTCCTTGTTTCTATCGCTATCACCATGCTGACCTTACTGCACATAGATGAACTTCTGCAAGCCCGTCGCCAAGCTTCCCCACGACCGCAGGGCCCTTCTCAACGCCGTCGTCAACAGCAACGGCAAGTTCTTCCTGGGCACCGACTCCGCCCCTCACCCCATCACCTCCAAGACGGGCCCCTCCAAGGCCGCCGCAGGTGTCTTCACCCAGCCCTATGCCGTGCAGTACCTTCTCACCGCACTCGACGAGGCCGTCGTCCGCGGAGAACTCAAGGACGCAGACATTACCCTGGAGGCTATCGAGGGCTTCGTGGCGCACTACGGTCGCAAGTTCTATGGTGGTTTCGAGGACCAGAAGGAAGAGCGAATCCGCCTTACCCGTGGCGGTGCTACCATCAACCAGGTCCTCGAGGGCTCTGGTATCCAGGTCGTTCCTTTCCGCGCTGGTAAGGAGACCTGGACTCTCAACTGGCTGTAAAAGGCACAACAGCCAGTTTGATGGCCTTTGTGAGCGACAAGTAGGAACAGGAGAAGAGGAAAATTCGGCGATATTGTGAACCTCCATTGCTGGCGTATGTGTCTATAATACATACAGTCTCTCAAAAGTCAACAAAGCAGCGTTTTCTTTTTTGAATGTCCCCATCCTATCGTCATCTCATATCTCATTGCCAGTTGCCCTTGTCTCTCCTATTTAGATAATCCATATTTCAGCCAGGCAGGGTCTTCAAAGACCCTAGTATCGAGATCCGGTGTCTCGTTCACCCATATCGTTCAGCATAGAAAAGCTGTTCGGCATTCCGAACCCACTCAGGCTCTGGTGGTACCTGTGGGGGTGGTCGGCCGTTCGCTTCGACGGAGGACCGATGGGACCCCAAACGCACGGAGAGGCAGGAGAAACCATACCCTGAGGGTACGCAGTCCTCTGCTCTGCCTCGCTTGTTAAATTTGGGTCCACGAGCCGGTGCAGAGGGGAACTTACCTGCGGCGGTCCTGTAGCCGCTTTCGTTCTGTCTTAAGGGCGACGCCGAGCGCATGTGACCCTGGCCCCTCACACCTTCGACTCGTCTCCATGACTGCGACGCTCTAGCTGGGCTTGAGAGATCCTTCTCAGACTTTATGGGTGACGGAAGTGCTCCTAGCTGGGGCTGGCGTGTATCGTAGAACGTCTCGGTGCCGCTTGCTTCCTGCTGTTGTTGCTGGCGTTGCAGCTCCGCTTGCTGCTTCTTCCACCAGGTCGGCAGGCCATGGAACAGACCGAGGGAGTGTTGAGTAGCCTTGTCCAGCGGCATCTCGTGCTTGTACTTGCATCCTTGCTGCGTGAAGGCGCAAACGCCTTCGTGAACCCACTTGTCGCAGTAGATCTTGGGCTTCTTGGGCGGGGCGGGAGAGGAGGCAACGATGTGGTCGATTCTCTTCTGTAGCACAAAACGTCAGCGTGACTTAGACTCAGGCAGTCGGCATCAAAACACGGTAGGAGGGCAACAGGTGGAGGGTCATCATTACCTGAAGAGCATCAGAGACCGGTGCCGGAGACGGTGGAGGGGTCTGAGATGTTCAGCGCCAAAACTCTGGTGCTTGGAAAATGACGAGTGGAAGGAATGCCGTACCTTGAACGCGACCGGCTGGATGGTACCAGCCGACGGATTCTGGTGATCCAGCCCTCGCGGCGAGGGCAGCACAAGCATGCCCTCAGCGCCGTGCTGCACAGCTGGGATGCCGACCAAGGGTGGGAGAGTATCAGCGGGAACGAGTCTGGTGTAGTTGCCGTTGCCGCGGTCGAGGCAGTAGGCGTAAAAGCCCGATGTGTCGACACCCATGTCCTGACCCTGGTCGGTAGCAGGTTGATGCTCCGCGGTCGGGGCTCCCATAGCCAGGTATTCAGGACCGCTGGTCAGACTGGGCGTGTGGTAGTGACCGTGAACCTGGGCAGCAGCTGTCGTCATGTTCGTACCCACTCGCCAGTTCGGGGCGTCGATGCTGCGTGGCGCGGGGGCGGCGTTGGCGAGCATGTGCCTCATCGGCGCCTGTTGTTGGTGATGGTGTTGAGGCTGGTAACGACGGAAGGAGGCAGGAGGCATCTCGCCAGGGTATCGGTGGTCCCTCGCCTGGAGAGAGGTGGATGTTTCCATGCCGCAAATCCGCACGCCACTGATTCCGTTCGTGATCGATGCTGACGGGTCAAAGTCAGGTGTCGTACCGCGCGTCGAGGTTCTTGATGCCGGGGGCGAACAAGACTTGTCGGAGGAGGAGTGAATTAACATCGAGTCCATACTGGGTGTGAGAAGAGAAAGTGAGAAGTTACGAAAAGAAGGAGGAGGAGAAGAGAAAAGGACAAGTCTAGGGCACGGTGGAAAGTCTTAGTCCTGGCAAGGTGCAAACGGGGAGATGCCAATACGTTACCCTATCTATAATGCCGTCGACCGCGATCAGCACTTCTGGAGTCGCCGAGGTACGCGATCAAAGACGACTTTGACGTCCTCTGCAGCGTGCAGCACGAAGGCAAATTCCGGACCAAGATGCCAAAGGCTCAGACATGAGAGTCTGGTGCCTAGGACGCGAGATCCTTTAATCAAAACAGTTGCTGTACCAGAACGAAAAAAAGATTCGTTGCCATCGTCGTTTGCTCGACCGAAATAAGGTCCGCTGCACTCATACGGTTACCTGCATTCTTGGTTTGTACCTCACCACGTGACAAACAGCTGTGCCTTCACTGTTGAACAAGTCAAACCATAGATTGATCCTTAGAAACATCGCACTGCGTTGATGCGACTGAAAGCAATGCAATGTCTATTGGCCTATATGCATGCTTCATCTAAGCTAAGCTGTGTAAGCGTTGATGAAATAGCCGGGCAAGAGGATTTGTTTGCAATCCTCTGGCCAACCACCCTTGCCATCTAAATCCAAACCCGTACGCCTGCCAGGTCGGTAGCAAATGTCATTATGTTCTGTGTTGCAAAGCTAGTCTATGTAGCTTCTCGCGTAAGACCTGCTCTGCTGCAGGTGTTCTGGCTTTCGCGGGCCAGTGTTGGAAGGTATCAAGAGCAAGTCGTAATTGTATCTCCGTTGTAAAAACTGGGCATTGAGGCAAAAGATGTCGCAGGCCGCAAGTGGCACAAGCAATTGCGTTAGGGTGCATCTGAAATGGGCCAGATGATGTCTTACGAGAAGACTTTTCTGGCTTATTGAAGTTCGCAGAATTTGGTAGTTGTGGCCCGGAGCCTGGAGGTTGTGGGCCGGACCCCGTATTGGATTGGATGTGGACGTTGTCAAGCCATGCCATGTCATATTTCAATGGTCGGCCGTACTTTGGGGGTCGACCTCGTTTTCCACCGTTGGCGAGCGGGAAGATCTGTAAGCCGGGCTGGACGGGGTCGGAGTATCCTGAGGGGTTGGTAGAAGGATATTTTTGGCCTGACTGCGTTCCGTTTTGGTAGGCTCTTTGGGCTGCGATGCCTTGGAATCCTTGGTTGGCTTGGCTGCCTTGCTGGAGACCTTGGTTGGGGTAGCCTTGGATGGAGTGGCTTTGGACGGGGTGGTTTTGGTTTTGTTTGGGGTTGACTTTGGCGTCTTTCTTGGTGCTCGTTTTTGGGGGGTTGACTTGGCCGACTTTGACGTCTTGGAGGATGCCGCGGCGTCTCTCTTTGGTGTTTTCCGCGTAGAGGGCGTCTTCTGTGGAGTCGAAGAGTTAACTTGTTGTTTCTTGCGATTCGGTGTCTTTTTGGGAGTTGAATGAGGTGACGTAGACTGAGAAGAAGATTTCCTGGCTTTACCTTTACTCATCGTGTTTCTGTCCTCTGGGTCAGTATCAGGCTCCTCGTCCTCACCACCCACGAAGTCCTCGTCGTTATCGGAACTACCGCTGTGGTCGACAGCAACATCAGTAGCCATGGGGGCGTTCGTCTTGTAGTTCACGGCCTGAGGCGGTTGTTAGCATACCATGTCCCTCAAATCGATGTGCTGACCTACCTGGCGGCGACGTCCTCCACGACCAAGAACTTCCTTGTTCAACTCCGCTAGTCTTTTGGCCTCGGCCTCTCTTTCAGCAAGAATCTCCTCCCAAACATTAGGGTTCACGGTAGGTTCATTCTCCTCTGCCAGGTTGTCCTCGAACCCGCCCTTGTCATTAGCCCAGACGCGAGCGAATGAAAATGTCGATTCGGCGGATTCATCTTGGCCAGTGCTTGTTTGCTCGATATGAGAGCGATCGAGAAGTTTCTCAACACTTGCCTCATCGTAACGTATGATGTCCTTCTCGTTTTGGTCATCGCTGAAAAGCGCAGTGGCTCCGAATTTGAGAATCGATTCCAAGTCATCCGGCTCCCCTGTGTCGTCCATAGCCTCAATCAACACATGATCAAGGGCCATCTTCTTGCGGCCAATCTGCATGATCTTCTCCTCCGCAGAGTTCTTCGTCATGAGCTGGAAACAGAGAACCTTGTGCTTTTGGCCGATTCTGTGCGCGCGAGAGATGGCTTGGATGTCCTGGTGGGGGTTGAAATCGGGATCTAGGATGATAACGGTATCAGCTGTTGCAAGGTTGATACCTACGCCTCCTGCTCTGGTGGAGAGAAGAAAGGCGAAGACTTCCGAGTCCGGGGCGTTGAATGCGTCGATATGCTTCTGTTTCTCATGGCTGTTGATCTTGCCGTCAAGACGCCTGTGCAAGAAGCCCAGGCCGTTCAAAAAGTCCTCGACGATATCCAGTTGATCCAAGAACTGGCTGAAGATGAGCACACGGTGTCCACGCTCCTTGAGTTTGGGCAACATGATACTAAGCAACATCAGCTTGCCAGACGCAGAAACCAGGTTCTCATGCATCTTGACTTGGTCCACAGCCCTCTCCTCAATCGCATCGCTATACATGAAAGGATGGCAAAGACACTTCCGCAACTGCATGAGAATGTTGTTCAGACTGCCACGCTCTTTCTTGTTGATCTTGTCATCTGCAAAGATTGCCTTGATGAGGTCCGGGCTTTTCGCCATGATAGATTTGCATAGCTTCTCCTGAAGGATCGACATTGACACTGGCACAATGATCTGCGCCATTGGAGGCAGGAACTTCAGAACCTGAGCTTTCGTTCGTCTCAAGAAATATTGCTTGATTCGCCCATGGAGTTCTGGCAGGTTTTGCGCGTTCAACTCCTGGTACTGTTCGTCCAACTTCTCCGCATTCTGCGTAGGGTCGATGAATTGCAATAAATTGAAGAGCTCTCGCTTGTTGTTTTGCAATGGCGTGCCTGTCAGGAGAAGTCGGAAGGGGAACCGCATCGCGCGCAATGCCAGGTACAGCAAGCTCTTGTCATTCTTGAGTCGTTGACCTTCATCAACGATCAACCCGGCCCACTGAACAGAGCGGAACAGGTTCCTCGTACGGTCATCCTGAGCGGAGTCGTATGACATGACCACGACATGGGCTTTGATGTCTGACGAGCCGTTGGGAAAGAGCTCGTATTTGTAGGCTAGTTCCTGGGGTTGCTTGCCGCCATGGTAGGTCACAACTCGAAGCTCTGGGGCCCATTGCTTGATTTCGCGGCGCCAGTTTGGACAAGTAGCATTTGGAACAACGACCAGAAATGGCCAACACTACACTCCGAGTTAGTCACGACCGCAGACCAGGCAGGGCAGAAATACCTTGGGTTCGCCTAGAGCGAGGGCAGAGATCAAGCTAACGACTTGAACCGTCTTTCCGAGTCCCATCTCGTCGGCAAGAATGACATTCTTGTCTTCGTGGTAGTTGTACAACAGCCAGTTGACACCTTCGAGCTGGTAGGCCATGAGGTTGCCCCGTCGGATTGCCTTGGGCTGCTCGGTCAAAGCGACGAACTTTTCCTCCTTCCAATCGTTCACTCTCTGTTTCATCTTGTGGTTTGAGGGACTGACGAAATATTTGCCAGTGAGGTACTCGTAGTAGGCAGCCTTGAACGTATTGTAGATCTCCCCAGTGTCTGGCTTTGGGGGCTTATCCCAAACGGCCTCATCATACCCCAAACCTTGGAACTTGACGTAAATCTTATCGACACTCCCGATCCGCTCCATGTCGTCCTGCAGGCTTCGTGCTCGTCCGTTCTTGACCTTGGCAGCAAGGATGACGTCTGTAAGGAGGTATTCCTCCGGGATAGCCTCATCAGTTGTCCATCTCAAAGACAGATTTTGCTCTGCGTCCCTCTTCGCAAAGGAATTCCGCATAGCTCCAGGAGCCATGTGAAAGACCCAGGCCCCAGGCATCCAGGTACAGTGAAAGTATGAACAGTCCGCCCATTTGATGAGGTAGTCTTTTTCGTCCTCATAGAAGTCGCTGTATGTCATTCCGTCTGAAAACGAGTCCTTCTTTGCAAGCCTCCAGGCAACCAGGGTCTGAATCTTGTGGGAAACCATAGCGCAATCATGGCACTTCCAATCCACGGAGTACTCAGAGAGACGTTGGTCACGGATATCGGACAAGTCGGTCTCCATCTGAGAAGACGGCAGGTGTTCATAGTGCCAGCCACGTTTGCATGAGGTGCACCGAAAGAGGACGTTTTCTGCGTTGTTGACGAGAGCTGGATCCACAGGTGCGATGGGATCCTCGCCGCCATTCTCAACTCGAAGCTTTTCCTCTTGCTTCGGCGTTCTCCTTGGCGAAAATGCTGCGCAAGAACGTCCCGGCTTTTCGCATCCCTGGCAGTTGTGATGACGAGGAGCATGCTTATCCTTCTTGCCGTAGAAGCCAATGCAGTACTTGCACTGAAGGACGAAGTCTTCCGCTCCAACCTTCGTAACCAAGTGTTCTCTAGCTGATCTGTAGCCCAGGCAAACTTTGTGAAATGACATGGAGCAGCCTTGGCAACTGATAAGAGGACCTTTATTGGCAGCGGGCCCAACGTTGCAACTGCTGCAGATATCTGAGTGGAAGGTCAAGAATGGTGAATCATGTGGAAGTTGTTTAAAGACCTCCTTGACATTCATCACTCTTGGTGCTCCAACTGGAGCAGTGTCCTCGATGTAGAAGGATTCCTCGTCCATCGGGGCGGAGTCGAGCATGCTAGCCTTGTTTCTGGTAGACCTACCGGATCGACGGCGATCCTCAAACTCGATCGAAGAATCGCGTGATCTGGGTTTCGCTTCCGGCCTTGCCTTGGAGGACTTTGATCGTCTAGGCTGCTTGCGCCTGCCTCGGCCCGGCTTGGGTTGAAGGTCCGATGTGATGAACGTGAAATCGTCGTCTTCTCCGTCAGATTGCTGAGGAGGGGCATCTTGGGAAAGTTCGTCCATGTCATCGTCGCGAGTCAGACTGGGGTTTCCAAAAGCCATGCTAGTGAGTGTGAGCTGCTTTTGAGTTCGCTCTCTCAGTTGTCGCTGTGGCTGTGAAGACTCGTGCCTTCGTGAACGAGTCCGCCGGCTCTCATCCTCATCGTCAGAAACAGCAGCATGAGAGTTTTGGCGGCTGCTCTGTCTGGTGGTCGTGCGTTGACGTCGCGAACGACGGGAATAAACTTGGTCTTCGTCTTCATCATCGGTATCAATAATGGATGTGAGGCGGGCGCTGCGCTGAAGGACGCTTCGTTGACGTTTCGATTGGCGAGGCAACTCTTCTTCGTCAAGTTCCATGAGATCCAGGTCCGCCTGAGAATCGGCCTCGGAATCCTCCAAAGTGTCCTCCCAAGATCGCTTCTGCCCGTGGAAGGCGCCAGTCTCGACCTCAGAGTCCACGGCGCCCTGCATCTTCTGAAGAGCAGATTCACCTCCGTCGTAGGCAAGAAGGTCTCCAAACGATATCTCGGTGGGGTTAGCGTGGTGTCCTTGAAGGGTTTGCGGTGAAAAATTATTATCCGCTATGTGCAGCCTTGCTTGATACAGCTCCATGGTAGATGCTTGCGCAAGTAGACTTGGGGGAGGGGGATGTGCGATGAGATATGGTCTTGGAAGCAACCCGCAACACAATTCAAACACCTGATAGCCGCGCTTTCCTCAGATTGGCAAGTTCTCTGGACGAACCGCCGTGCAGCAGTCGTTCGAGGAAGCCAAGAACTAGGAAGTCTGAGGGGCAAGTACTTGAGAGAAGATATGCAAAGCCTGGATTGTGGTAGGGCGAAAGTGATGTGGGAGTGAGAGATTGAAGTGTGGAGGGTGGAGGGTGAAGAGTGAAGATGCGATTTATATAGATGAATAGAAGCAGTTGAAGATGGCAAGAGCAGCCAAAAAGAAAAAAAGGAAAGAACGTTCGACTGGAAGAAAGCAGGAGGAAACAGTAACTCACAATGTCTTGTCGTCCATCTGTAAACTCGACGCTGTACCACAGCTCTGATTCGGGCCCTTCTACCTCTCCAATGACCTCGTCAACGACGTCGCTCTGGATGGTACGGTATTGCGCGCATTCTTCTGGGGATAGACGTCGCAAAACAATTTCTATCCGGACTGGGCGAACTCGGCCATGCGTAATGTATTCGGGAACTCCTTCCGCAGCCTCGGCAGACGCAGTGTTCAGGTCGACGACTGGTTCCGACGTTGCAGCAACAGGTGCCGACTCCTCGTACGTATCTATCGAAAGCAATGGTTCGTCTGGATCAAACCCCTCTGAGTCTTGTATGGTAGCGCCCTGCGACAGCTGGTCTTTCGCTGCGGCATCGGTGGGGAATGCGCCGTCGAAGGTATCGACTGTAGCCTCTTTGACAATCTCCTCGTTGATGGCGGGGTCGGATTGATCAAGGCCTATCAAAGCATCGCTTGGAGAGCCTGTAACAGACTGGGTGGTGTCGTCGTCAGCGGTGTTCGTGAAGTCCTCCATGATGCGACTGCTCGGAACGGGAAGGCATAGGGTCGGGGCGGGTGGGGTGTCGCAGGGACTGCGTCGGATATTTAGAAGTCGCTTGAAGAAAAAACTGAAAAGAAGAAGGCAAAAATGGAATGGAAGAATTGTCCTGCAAAGGCAGGGGCTCGGTTCTGGGTGAGCGCACTCAGAGAAAGGACGGCCTTTGAGACTGGGAAGTCTTCACAGTTCGACGCGACGCTCGAAACCGCGTTGCCATTAAAGTTGAGCTGCCGTAGCGTGTAAAGCACGGGTACGTACCGCCAGCCCGCTCTTGGTGGGGTGGTTGCGCCGATGGAAAGGGCCCACAGAAGACTCGTTGGCCAACCAGAGAGCCAGGATCTACTTACCGCTCGGGTCCCTGCTGCAAGAATGTGGCAGAAAAAAAAAGTGCCACCATCGAAGACTTGGAATTTCGGCGCTACGAAGTTTTGCACATTGTCGCCATGTTGGAAGACATCGACACCACTACACGTACCGACGCCTGGACTTACTCCATGCATGCTATGCGATGAGTCAACTTCTGAAATGGAGCGCCGTTCGCCCGCATACAACGAATTATAGAGCTTTCCAGCTCACTGGCGCCACCGGACAGGTGCGCCATGCATCTCTCTCAGGTATCCACCGGGGTCTTCGACAGTCGGCAAGAGCCGGTTCCCCAAACGGTCGCGCGACAAGTCCGAATTCGAGAAATCGTCAAGATGATCGCACGAGACGCCCAGACTTCAAGCCCCGCCTGACCGAGTCTCGCGGTCGTAGCCCGAGCCGAAATCTCCCATCGAAGCCGGACGCCTTTGCGAACAAATTCAATGGCGCGATTGGCGGTCGCGAGCGTCATTTCAAGCCGAAGAAAGCATTTCAAAAAATGAAAGAGCGCGAGCAAGAAGAAGAGGAGGGAGGGAGAAAGTCAAGGAGCAAGCGGTTCAACAACCCAGAGTACTCGTTCGGGAAGAAGAGCATGGTGTATCAGCTCAACCGCGGCGAGTTGAAAGATAAGGTCTCCAAGCTATTGGACAAGGAGGGGATGAATGAAGATAAGACGGAATATCCGCGGTCAGGCTCCGCATGGAGAGATCTCAATCGGGACGCCTCGAAGCCCAGAAGAGAGGGCGATTGGGACTCAGCAAGACCTAGAAGAGATAGGGATTGGAAATCGGCAACTCCCAGAAGAGACGGTGGTCGCGATTCGATGAGACAGATGAGAGACGGCGTAAGGAGGGAGTTTGAGCGAGATGGCGCTGCGCCTCGGAGACAGACTCGAGGATCAGACGACGATTCTTCTGCTAACAGACCGGCCGAATTCCCACTGTCAATTCAATACACGACAGCAGCATCGCAATTTCTGTTTGGTCGATCGGTTGTGAAGGCGGCTCTGAGAAACTCTCAGCGCAAGCTTTACAATCTGTATGTCTACCAGGGGAGCAACAAGAAGGACACGAAGGACGATGCCTGGATCGTGTCCATGGCAGAGAAGAAGGGCATCAAGGTCAAAAGCGTCTACGAAGCCGATCAGAAGCTGCTGGACAAGATGAGCAAGGGTAGACCACACAACGGTCTTGTTCTCGAGGCATCGCCTCTCCCTCAGCTGCCCCTTGTCAGCCTTGGAGGGCTGTCGGCCGATTCAAACGGCTACACGGTCTCCGTGGCTCACCAGTCCAAGGAAGATCTCGAGATCAACGGCACGGAAGACTCCATCCCTTGCAAGCAGGGTCAGTCTCGCCCGCTAGTCCTCCTGCTGAACGAGATTTTGGACCCTGGAAACTTGGGTGCGATTCTTCGTACAGCTTGCTTCCTTGGCGTGTCAGCTGTGGCCATTACAGATCGGACATCCTCTTCTATCACGTCCACCGTGCTGAAGGCCGCGGCCGGGGCTGCGGAAGAGATCAAGCTTTTTACTGTTGAAGACCCAGGGCGGTTTTTGAGTCTCTCGCAAGAGGCCGGCTGGACGTCATACGCTGCCGTTGCACCTACGCTTGGGTCGCGTTCGAACCGTCAGTGGACTCCGGACTACATCGAGGACTTCAAGCCTCTGGAAAAAGAGCCTTGCATCCTCGTTCTTGGTAACGAAGGCACCGGTCTTCCCTACGACATTAGGAAGAAGGCGACGCACGAGGTCACAATTCCACGAGTGGCTTCAACCGCAAGCTCTGTAGACAGCTTGAACGTGAGCGTTGCTGCGGCACTGCTCTGCAACTCGTTTCTCCGAGGAGTGCGCCACAAAGATCCTCTGACACTCACCGAGAGGTTGCACATCGATGCTCGTAAAGCAGATGGTGGAGAGACTCTGTTTTGATGCGGTGTTGGTGCAAACGGGAAAAGCATAATGCCATGATGTAACACAATCATCTGTAAAACTACCATGTATAGAATACGAATACCTCTCGGCATAAATGAATCATTTTCTTCTGGCAGCTTGACTTTCTTTTGATAAATGATGCTCTGGGACAGTCTTGCACATGACACGCCATCTGCAAGGCACCGCCCAGTGCCCACTCGAAGTACATCCCGTCGTGCATGGATTGGCGACCTGGGCTGCTGCAAGGCAAGACCAATACCAAGTCGTCGGCGCAGGCGTTTCCCAGCCGGTGCGCCGGTCTTCTGAAGCTACCCCGGTAAAGCTTAGACCAGACCCCTGACGGCGGGCGAGACATCCGGCTCTTCCCCTGAAGCTTGACAGACCCGACGGCTTTTCGACTCGCCCTGGCCCTGGATGACGTATCTTCAGCAGCTGTCATCCATGCCCAGCCACCTGAAAAAAAAAAAAGACCCTACAAGGAAGGGGTTCTGTCAGCAGTGCAGCCCCTCTGTTCAACGGTCGAGAAGCAGCAATCAGGTTCTTTTTCAAGACAAAAATACGGGAAAAGTCCACGCAACAAACGCATTGTTGAAATCTGATACCGCCGGCGACGTGTCTCGCTGCGGGACCACAGACTGCCTCTCGGGATCAGACACGAATACAGGGCGGTGAGGTTTCGCGAGCCCAAGCAGCTCCATCATCTTGCAGGTTGCCCAGTCGCCCAGCCACCGCTTTCCCGCACCGATTGTTCCACGAAACCTCAAGACGCCCGACGCCTCTGCAATTTCCCGCCAAAGAGCTGCACGCTACTTGAAATCCGAGCGACATCTCTCTGCAGAAAGATCGTCGCTCACGCCAAATCTCCGATCGCCTTCACACTCATCAGTACCTCAGTCTAAGTGACATCGACCACAAGCACACACTGAAGACTTGGCGTCCGAAGCTTGGGCCGGCCTGTCACTCACCTAAACTAAACACACGAACAACACGCTCTGAGAACTCACAACAGACGACGACTTCTGGTCTTGACGAAGGCTTGGCCTCACAGTCGTAACGATGCGGGCCTTCTCACTCGTCGGCCTTCCCTCGTCTCTGCTGCTGCTTATCACAACTCATGTCGGCGCAGAGAACCCCACGGCAATCCGCAAGATGTCACCAAACGCCGGCGAGAAGCTGCTTCCCGACGACCTTGCTTTCGCCAAGGATGTCTTCGATACGCCGTTGACACCTCACGAGAAACTTCTCGCCGCCCGCATGGCCGACGACCCTTTCCTCTACAACGCCTCTTACCCGCATCGCCCGCCCTTTGCATCACACAGCTCCCAGGCTGGTCTGGGCTGGGAGCACCTCCGCCGGGCGATCGACGTGTTGAACCTCCTCGAGAAAAGACAAGCGTGCCCCACGAAGATGAATAGCTGTGAGACAATCGGTTCGCCGGACAAGTGCTGCATGACCAACGAGGTGTGCGTGAAGGTGGTGGATGAGAGTGTCGGAAACGTCGCTTGCTGTCCGGCGGGCGCATCCTGCAACGGACCTGTTGGAATCTGCCCCATTGGCACAACAAGCTGTGCGGCGGATGTCGGCGGTGGCTGCTGCATTCCGGGTTACGTCTGCCAGGGTTCCGGTTGTAAGTAAATCTTTGAAACTCCCAAAGGACTTTGACTGACTTGATCAAGGTGTGCCTAGCCATATTGCCACGGCCACGACAGCAACAGCAACGGCAACGGCAACGGCCACAAATGGAGGTGGTGGAGGGGGAGGTGGTGGCGGCGGTGGTAGTGGAGGCAGTACTGGAGGAGGGGGAACTGTTACTTCAGTCCGGACCGTCACCAGCACGACCGTCTCGACGACGACACTCGCGGATGGTAGCACCACGACCGTGGTCATCATTGTCACAGTCACGCAGCGACCCGGAACCGTCACGACGACCAGCACTTCGACCTCCACCGAGACGCCTGCAACCCCTACAACAGCCCCGGCAACTACGGCGGTCAGCACTGGCGGCGCAGTCCCTCCCTTCAGACCGACGTCCACCACCGAAGGGGACACCAACACGGCACCTTTCTGCCCGACAGGATTCTACGCCTGCCTGGCTCGCGCCGGTGGAGGCTGCTGCCAGACAGGACGAGACTGTGCTACTACCTCATGTCCGCCCACGCCCTCTACCACCATCATCTCCAACGGAGCGACCATCATCGTGCCTGTAACTGACGTTCCGGCCTCGGCCACGGAGACATGTGCGGGCGGTTGGTTCTTGTGCGGAGAGGAAGGTGGGCCCGTCCCCGGCTGCTGCCCGAGCGGATATGCGTGCGGGACCGCGAGCTGCACCACCAGCTCATCGACACAGACAGGAGAGATACAGAAGCAGTTCCCCAACTCTGGGTCGAGAGTTGTTGCATCCTTTGCGGTTGTGGCATTGTCGATGCTTGCTGCGTTGTTTTGAGGTACATACAAGATGCATTGGGCGGCGTTATAAGGGATCCTTTCACGAACGAAACGAAACGAATGGCTAAATGAGATATGGGTCTCATGAATCGAAATTTGCATAACACACGAAGAGCACTAGTCGCGAGATGGGTCATTAGCACAGCTCAGAGGATAGATAGTCTAATGGTGAAAGCCAAAGCTCATTTCTTGATATCATTTGTTCATCTCTATATAAGTAAGATGACAGCAGCAAACG